TTTCCTCCTTAAACGCAATCATCAGCATGACTATTGCGTTTAAGCATGAAACAACCTGTAGCCACTGGGTTTTGACTTCAATGGTTACTTTCATATTTGCATACGCTCTATCCCAGATATTCGCACTTTAACCCATAAATATAATATACCTTAATGCTATATTTTATCATCATATATATATATATATATATATATATATATATATATATATATAAATTATTTTTATAAAAAAAAAATTATAACATGTTATAAAATTACTATCTGCTCTACTTTTTGTATTGAACACTCTTTTAAGAATAGTAATTGTTGGTTATTTGAATTCATTCTGTATATACCAATTATATACTTGAATATATATATATATATATATATATATATATATATATATATATATATATATATATATACATACACACACACACACACACACATATATATATATATATATATATAAACAGTTCCTTTTCGAATGATCAATGGAGGAATCTATATCAAGTACGACATAACGTACCATCAATACTTCATTTTTTCTAGTGTCAATTTTGTTAAAATGCTGAGTTAAAAATAAACCTTTCTTAATTATTTTAAACTCTTTTGCATGTAAAATAGAATATGAAATTTTAATATTCTTATTTTAACTATTTTAATCACATTAATCATAAAATATTATAATATTTTTATCTGAAATTAGAATAAAAGGATAAATATGTGGATTCCTTGTAGTCGAGAAGGCTGCGTATTTTTACTCGTACTAATGACTGAAGATTGAGCACAACTAAAATTGAAATTCACGATTTCAAATATTCATGGTTCTCCTTAGCTAAACGTCCCAAATATCATATGTTCCATTCTTTCTCGACATTTTGATTTTTTTGACGGACCATCAGCTTATTTTCGTTACATTTGTTATTTACTTTGTATTTTATTTTAGGTTATTTAATATTTTTTCCGTATAAATCTAAGCAAAGTAAATAAAAAAAACAATAAACAAATCAGTTGGCTAGATTCCATCCAGTGTCAAACCAAGGCTCAATTTACTGCCACAAATTGACCATCTATTTCATATGTTAATGTTTACAATTTTTATTCTCATGCAAACTAAATGTAGCTATTTTTTTACTCAAGTTTAAGCCAGATCTATGTCTACCTTTTTGCATCTCTTGTAAACCAAAACAATTTCTACGAATTTACACGAATGTAAACGAAAACTATAACTTTTTATTCTCGTTGAAATCAACAGCATCCTTAATTTTTTTGACTCGTAAAAACCTAACCTCTGCCTAACTTTTAGAAGACCAAACAAGCCAAACTATGTCTACTTTCTTTTTAGTCACGTGTTACTCAAATCGATTTTTTACCTTTTTAACTCTTGTGCAAACCAAACCTATGTGAATCTATCGGTTGCATGACAGAATTCGGCATTAAATAACATGGAAAATATTGATATGCAGAAAAAATAGCCGAACGGTGCAAAACTAAAAAAATAAGAACTCTTTAACATCGTAATACAAATGTAAAGCAATTGTTTTAGAATTCAGAAGAGGAAGTTGTGATTTTGGTAACTGAAATGTAGGTTTAATGTTTTCGTCAATATATATATATATATATATATATATATATATATATATATATATATATATATATATATATATATATCCGTCTATCAAACTATAACCCGTTGAGTGTCCCTAAGACAGTGGGATGTTAAAAAATTTAAATAACTTTAACTGAGCGAAATTCATCTATGATAAAATATAAACGTTATTTTGTTTCCTTTATATATTGAAATTGTTCTTTAACAATTAAAATTACTGCAGCTGGCGACATACAAGTCGTCTTTTTCCAAAATGATAGCTAAAGATAACGTATCATTCACAGGTTTTTTCATGTAGAATTTTATAAATAAATTTTTTATGTGATGCGGGGTTTTGTAAGTCCCTTGAGAGTATGCGGTATTGTGGTATATAGAGGATTGAATGATGATGGATAAATTCTTTTGGTGGATGTGCAAATTTTAATGAGTGAATAGGTCGTGAATCTGATTAGCTAGGTATAAGACAGTAAGTGATGACCAGCCTCAGTTCATGTCTTGCTTTTTTATAAAACGATTTCGTCTGTGTTTTCTCTATCAATGTTTTATTGCTTTAACATTTTTTATATGTCATGTCCTTTCAGAATGTATGGGATCATGGCTCTCCACTTCCTCCTATCCTTTCAATACGTTTTGTCCCTTTTCTACTTCACCGGGCTATGTTCTGTCATTCACGTGTTTAAGCCTGCTAGGTATGTCAGCGTTGCTTTCCCTTGTCTCTCTTTTCATCTATTCGACCCGTGAGTATTAGATTCTCCAAGCCCTCCTTTCTCATTACGTGTCCCAGAAATTTCAGCTGCCTCTTCCTGATGTTAAGTATAAGTTTCATCCTTGCTTGCATCTTCTCCAAAACCTCATCGTTGCTCACACGCTCGGGCCATGACATCCTTAGCATCCTTCTGTAAGCTTGACTTTTTCCTCGACTTGAAGGTAAATGTATACAAAGAGAAAACTTAGAATCAGAAATAAACAGTTGAAATACCTCAGATACATAATACAAAAATATTCATTGATTCCTTTTCTACAGTTTATTTTCAAGTTATTTATTGCCATGAACGTATTTGTAAAACAGACAGAGAGATGCGACGGCGCGTCTTTCAGAGAGCGACTGTAGACGAGATGCCAGATCAGGGACAATTATATTGCATATCCGCCTCTGGAGCCTATCAAGAACCCCGAGGCAAACAGAAGGGGCTCCAGACCATATACGGCAGCAATACTCCATGCAAGGGCGAATTTTGATGCAAATATTACTAATTAACCCATATCTGGGGGATAAGAGGTGGTTTCATACGTAAATGAATAGAACCGGTATTTGAAAGTAATGTAACTGTAAGCCAAATGCAAAAAGAGGTCTTAGTGAATTGGAAATTTATAGGACATATTGAAGAAAAGCAGGTGAGTGAACCTACCTAAGGATTTTGTGTAAATGGATTTTAGAAGAATGGCAAAAAGAGAAAACTTCCTGATAGTTACAAAGAAGTAATGGAGAACTATGAGTGCCCACGTCTTCATGTTTTCTGTTACAGCTAAAGTGATTCATGCAATGATAGCTCGTTTTAAATATTACTGGCTTAATTAGACTAAAGCATTTTTCCTGAATATGCCCCGACGAAGTGTGAAATGTTTCTAATATAAGTACGTTTCATTTATACCGTCAAATATGGTAAAATATTCCGTTTCATAATATATAATTTTTATTTCTTCTCTATTAACATTTACATATTTTTTTCTGTTTTAAATGAATATTTAATTATTTTTTAATTTGTTTATCCAGCGCTCCGAGAGAATCCCAACAGAAAATCGATATAGTTGAAAACAAGATTTAATTGTGAACAAACGTGAAGTGTTACCTCTGATGATAAATCTTTCGGCAACTTAGTACTTGAAAAGTTTTATATTGATTTCTCTTAATTAGGTAGAACAGTTTAGGGAATCACCCATGATTTGAACCAGCCTGAAATGATTTATGTTTTTTTTTTATTTTACGTTATGTATGTTCCAGTGAATATATTTTCATTGAAGTGTCGTGAAACATTGATTAACTAAAGGCTATCCACTCAAGAGAAAGCGATGTTTTACAAACGCCTACTATTTTATTTTTAGGCGTCGAAGAAGGGATTTCGCTAGTCAAGTAATATATTTGCCACTTTTACTGCTGATATCTTTATTAGCCTTTAGAAATCAAATTTGATTTTTTTCCCTCCTCTTAAAATATGGCGGTGAGTGGAAAGACGGTATGTTATTACCAGTGTAAAATTGTAATAGGCATCTTTATGTTTGGTGCATGTTTACTTTATCAAATTGATATTATTCTATCTATCTTCATTTATATTAAAGTTGTATATATCTTTTTTTCTTTTATTTGTTACTTTCCTGATGTCAACGAAACTCGTTGCCACTTTTGCAATGCCAAAAAATACTCGTTGTTACTTTCGTAATGCTCCTTGTAGTAGTGACTTTATAATCACAGTTACAACTACAGCAACGCCGTTAAACAATACTAGTGTCAGCCGCCTTCGAATATCACTCGCACTAATAGTACTTGCTCGATAACAATCGCTCGAACAGTAATCAGTATAGTGATACGAATAGAGAAATATTATTGCGAATAGAGTAAAGAATAGGAATCTGTATAAAAATAGAAGATAGACTAGAAATAGCGATCCGAATAGTAATAGAGGATGGAATATAAATAGCGATCATTTAGATACCAAGCTAATTCCTACTTATGTGTTTCCTCTATGGTCACGTGATCTACTTAATTTAATATTGGGATTGCCTATTTTTGTTCACTGGTGATTTATGTTCAAATTCAAATGTCGGCAGTGGCACTTATTCTTACGTAACACCTACTTTATTAATCGCTTACCATTCAAATATCATCAGCGCTATGTTTAGTTTCGTTTAATTGCATTTATTAACCGATGTTATTATTCTTTTACATTGATCACTTTTTTCCTCTGCTAATAACTAAGTGGCCTCAAGGGTCATCACAGATATAGCAGCAGTGGTTTATCTAAGACCTGGCGGAGCTCATCCCCCTCCAAGCTGGTTTTGAATTCGCAATACTTCTCTTTTGCCTAGCTGCCAACCTTTCTACTTAAATCTTAGAAGAGATTGGTTAGTTGATTTACTTTAGCGGTATATCAACCTCTATGGAATATTTATTGCCGAAATCTAAATATTTTGTGCGCAATTATTATGTTTTGGAGATAATAATGATTTTTGTGATACATCTTACTAATTAACCCATAGCTGGGGGGGAGTAGGTGATTCGGTTATTTGCGAATAAGTGAATATAACGGAACCAAGTGAAATTGGAACTCGGCCCTCTGATTAAAACGTCCGAATCATTATACATTAGCCCACCAACACATCCAAGCTTACAGCACCTGGTACACCTAAGCGCTTCCCTTACGACCACCGAAGTTAAGCCACGTCGAGCGTGGTCAGTACTTAGATGATTGACCGCTTTGGAATACCAACTACTGTGCGGGTGGTGTAATGAATAATTGCTCAGAATTGTTAATCGGAGAGCCGAGTTTCAATTCCAGTTGGGTTCGTTATATTCACTTATGCACAAATGCTCTTGGGAAAGGTTTCAATCCAATTCTTCACCCAGATATTGGTTAATTAGTCATATTTGTACAATTAAATAATTATTATCTCCACCCACCAAAAAAAAAAAAAAAAATTCTTACAATCTACTTTTTTTCTGGATTTAAATAACCTGCAAAAAGCCAATAAGCCGTAGAAATGGATGAATCAATCAATCCAAGTGAATTTATACAAAAGTAAATACAACAAACTCGCTGCGATATCCTACACGAATCGCAGATTTTGATTTCAGAGTAGTTAACCGTTACCCTACCTGCACACCCAAAAATGTGTGGTATCAAAAACACAGAAATTAAAATTATAATGCTAATAAAATTAAATCTTTGTTGTCATTGTCAGTCAATCTGTTTTAAAATATTGGTTGAAAAGTAAGTAGAAATTAAAATTTTACTGCTAATAAAATTAAATGTTTGTTGTCATTGTCAGTCAATCTGTTTTAAAATAATTGTTGAAACGTAAGTAAGAAATTATATAGACACCAAAATGAAATTCCCAATGCGATGATGAAGCTAAAATATCCATCGAGTTGACTCACCACTCAAAAAAAAAAAAAAAAAAAAAAAAACAGACAGCGATCCAAGTTACCCACAAAAAAAAGAAATATTGCTAGAAATGCATCCATAGTCTCCGGGAAAATTTGTTCATCTGGCGATTTGTAAGGGAGGCCTTCCATATTCCTCTTTTAATTCATTATGAGGCGAATTCTTCAGAAATGTTTTATTCAAATTCTGTACGCCTTCAATAATAACAACAACTATTGTGATACGAGGGCGTATCTAGATTATACAAAGATTTATCTGGATGTTACGAGGGCTTATCTAGATGAAAATCAACTGAACAGATGCAATTTAGCATTTAGCAGGACTCAGACCAATGAATATTTTTTCACAGAATATCTCAAATATTATAACGATCTCACAATATCAACAACAATCGATGGAATGAGATACCAAGCTATGTAATGCGTGCTGACTGAAGATCTCGTCATTGCCAACAAAACTGCAATCAGTTCAAACGATTACGATAACTCAAAATGATTTTATATTTCTCTTTAATTTGAATGATAAAAACTACAAGTTATTGTAAATTATATTAACAAATATTTCAAATATTGTGAAAGGGGAAAAAAGTTTGGTCCTTTAAGACTTCATCGGACTGGATTGATTTTTACGTTGATGCGATTACGCAGTAGCAAGAAAGAAAAAGGACGCTGAGAGCACATAATCAAAAATGAAAATGATCTGAATGAAATTGGCTGGATTATATGCCAAAAACCCATATTAAAAACAAAAATCATTTAAATTTAAAATTCTCAACGTCGTCATTCCTTCGTGAGCTTTTGTAGCCGCATCAACGTAAACATTACAGCACCTGGTATATCCAAGCGGTTCCGGTACGATCACTGAAGTTAAGCCACGTCGAGCGTGGTCAATACTTAGATGATTGACCGCTTTGGAATACCAACTACTGTGCGGGTGGTGTAATGAATAATTGCTCAGGATTGTTAATCGGAAAGCCGAGTTTCAATTCCAGTTGGGTTCGTTATATTCCCTTATGCACAAATGCTCTTGGGGAAAGGTTTCAATCCAATTCTTCTCACCCAGGAAGTTCGAAATGCCGAAATTCTTCTCGTCCGAGGACGTTCAAAATGCCAAAACGTGTAGCACAAAAACATTTTCCTTCTAAAATTGTTCTTGATATACACTACGTTTCAAAAATTTGAAGCCTCCCCCATAATTAGCATGGGATGAAATTGACAGGAGAGAGAAAAAGAAAAATGAAAAAGAGCTCTTAGAGTCACTGAAAAAAGAATGGAAGAATTGTTTATCATACTTAAACTTTGAGAAACTTTCCCAATGAATGGTAAAAATTTGTGCTGCAGTAATCAAGTTTAAAGGAGGATATTTTGACGAGAGCAAAATTTAATCATATTTTTTTTTTATCCTTTTTGTTATAATAACATCTCTAATAAAAAATCACCTGTCACATTTTTAACAGATAATTTTCTCTTATTTAATGGACACAGCAACTAATTTTGGGGCCAAGTTAAAAAACTACCAGGGGTAGCCTGAAACTTTTGAGCTTTACTGTATATAAAAAAAAACTATCGTTTTCTTATTAAGAAATATTCAAGATATGATAAGAAATACATTCAAAAAACTTCTGGAAATAAATAAGAACCTACAGATCCAATATTTTAGTAGATACCCATATTCGAGTAGGGGTTTTGTTTATTTATTAAAGAATATATTTAATTATTTTCGTCTGCCAGCCTGAATATTTAAGAAATCGTCATTAGAGGGGAAGTGTCATTAGAGGGGGAAACGTCATTAGAGAGGAAGCGTCATAAGATGGGAAGCGTCATTAGAGGGGGGAAACGCCATTAGAGGGGAATTGACATTAGAGGGGGAAACGTCATTAGAGGGGAAGCGTCATTAGAGTGGGAAACGTCATTAGAGGGGAAGCGTCATTAGAGGTGGGAAACGCCATTAGAGGGGAATTGTCATTAGAGGGGGAAACGTCATTAGAGGGGAAGCGTCATTAGAGTGGGAAACGTCATTAGAGGGGAAGCGTCATTAGAGGGGGGAAACGCCATTAGAGGGGAATTGTCATTAGAGGAGGAAACTTCATTAGAGGGGAAGCGTCATTAGAGGGGGAAACGTCATTAGAGGGAAGCGTCATTAGAGGGGGAACGTCATTAGAGGGGAATTGACATTAGAGGGGGAAACGTCATTAGAGGGGAAGCGTCATTAGAGGGGGAAACGTCATTAGAGGGGAATTGACATTAGAGAGGAACGTCATTACATTAGAGGGGGAAACGTCATTAGAGGAAGCGTCATTAGAGGGGGGAAACGTCATTAGAGGGGAAGCGACATTAGAGGGGGAAACGTCATTAGAGGGGGAACGTCATTAGAGGGAAGCGTCATTAGAGGGGGAAACGCCATTAGACGGGAATTGTCATTAGAGAGGGAAACGTCATTAGAGGGGAAGCGTCATTAGAGGGGGGAAACGCCATTAGAGGGGAATTAGCATTAGAGGGGAAGCGTCATTAGAGTGGGAAACGTCATTAGAGGGGAAGCGTCATTAGAGGGGGAACGTCATTAGAGGAATTGACATTAGAGGGGGAACGTCATTGAGGGGAAGCGTCATTAGAGGGGAAACGTCATTAGAGGGAAGCGTCATTAGAGGGGGGAAACATCATTAGAGAGGAAGAGTCATTAGAGTGGGAAACGTCATTAGAGGGAAAGCGTCATTAGAGGGGGAAACATCATTAGAGAGGAAGCGTCATTACAGTGGGAAACGTCATTAGAGGGGAAGAGTCATTAGAGGGGAAACGTCATTAGAGGAAGCGTCATTACAGTGGGAAACGTCATTAGAGGGGAAGGTCATTAGAGTGGAAACATCATTAGAGAGGAAGAGTCATTAGAGGGGGAAACGTCATTAGAGGAGAACGTCATTAGAGGGGAAACGTCATTACATTAGAGGGGAAACGTCATTAGAGGGGAAGCGTCATTAGAGGGGGAACGTCATTAGAGGGGAATTGACATTAGAGGGGGAAACGTCATTAGAGGGGAAGCGTCATTAGAGGGGGAAACGTCATTAGAGGGGAAGCGTCATTAGAGGGGGAAACATCATTAGAGAGGAAGAGTCATTAGAGTGGGAAACGTCATTAGAGGGGAAGCGTCATTAGAGGGGGAAACATCATTAGAGAGGAAGCGTCATTACAGTGGGAAACGTCATTAGAGGGGAAGCGTCATTAGAGGGGGAAACATCATTAGAGAGGAAGAGTCATTAGAGGGGGAAACGTCATTAGAGGGGAAGCGTCATTAGAGGGGGAAACGTCATTAGAGGGGAAGTGTCATTAGAGGGGGAAACGCCATTAGAGGGGAAACGTCATTAGAGGGGAAGCGTCATTAGAGGGGGAAACGTCATTAGAGGGGGACTTTTTGTCTACGGAATCGTTGATGGCCAAGCAAAGCTGGAATAGTTCTTTTAAACACGGATGTTTCTCCGGCTCTCCTGGAAATATATATCTTTGGCCAGTTACGTATCCTAAAGCAAACAATGCAGTTTTATTAATCCGACATTTAATTGAATGTTATTTTAGCGGATACCCATAATGATGGTTTTCCTCAGGGGAACGAAGGTTCGAATCATGCCGGAGCGCTCATATTTCTCTCATAAGATTTCTAGAATATTCAGGCCAGTAGACTAAATTAAATAAATATGCTTTTTAATAAATAAATAAACAGTGCTTCTATTCAAATAGGGGTATCCACTAAAAATAATATATATATATATATATATATATATATATATATATATATATATGTGTGTGTGTGTGTGTGTGTGTGTGTGTGTGTGTGTGTGTGTGTGTGTGTGGAGTGGTCATATCTTGGGAATGTCTGATACCAGGATACCCAAGATCCTAATGTTCAGCCAGTTAGATCAGGACTACAGGAATGTAGGACGTCCATGGCTAACATAAAAAGACAAGCTGAAAAGCAACTTGTCAGCTGTCAATATGCCACATAACACCCTTGAGCGCTTAGGCTTGGGGCGGGTAGAATGGAGATCAACGTGTTTTATGGGACTCTGCAATTTTCAATCTGTTTGTCTGAATCATCTTCAAGAAGCGAGAGCAAGATCTAAAAAGTTAGCCAATCTAACAGTGATCTCATCTCATAATCTTCACTCTTGCTCCATATGTGACCTCCTTTGTAAATCACTAGCGGGTCTAAAATGCCACTTAATATTATTGCACAAATTTTCATAACTGAAAAATTTAAGCTGTCAGATCCTCATACGTCGAAACCGACGGGAGAGTCCATTATTATTATATATATATATATATCAACTTTTCCATTGACCT